TTAAGTTTATCCTCTTCATCTTGACAGAGATGAAATGCTTCATAAAGCATATTCATACTAATTCTCTTACTACCATGAAAATATTGATTTGTAAGTCGATTATTATGGAAGTCAAGATTAGCATATACCTCGTGGAAAGGTAATCATGTAATAAGACAAAACTCTTGGAGACTAAAGCGGGTCAAATGGTTATCTAATTTCACCCAAATTTCATTGTTTTTGCAACAATCTACAAGTCTCATTATGAATTCGTGAACTAATTTACTACTAAACTGTTGCTGGTCTTCTCCTCTATAAATCACCCCATACATAAAATCCTTGAAAGTTACTACATAATAAATATGCATGTTGATCTGAATTGATAAGGACCACACAATCTTTCACATGTCGATAATTTGGAAATTGACTGATTGTAACTGAAAATCACTTATTTAAAGAAAATATATATTGCAAAAACATCTGCAAAAATTATAAAAATAGACAATTTAATAGAATAAATTTGCTGCATGGAGATACCAATGGGGTCTCCTTGGATTTGTTTGGTGCACGGAGATAAGCCTGTGTCTCCGTCGCACAACGGAGAGACGGAGCCCTTGTCTCCGTGCGTAACAGAGACACGGGATTGTGTTTTCGTGCACGGAGACCCGTGTCTTCGAGTGGAGACACGGAGAAACGGATATCTCAGCGTCTCCATGGAGACACGGGTTCCCCCATGTCTTGCATGGAGACACGGTCCAGTGTCTCCGTGCGAGACACGACCTGTGTCTCATCTCGCACCGAGACATAGCCGGATGAGATATGTGAGTGGAAGTAGTTTGAAAATACCTTGTAGATTTTATAGTTGTGGTGGTGGTGCCTTTTTCAATTTTGGAGAAGAAGATGAATAGAATTTTTTTGTTTAAAACTTGGTAGAAAGTGAATGTAAAGTGTAAATGTTTAGGTAGTTGAAAGTGAATGTTTGGGTAGTCGAAAGTTTTGGTAGTTGAGGGTGTGAATACAATTGGAAACTATAATTAATATAATGTTTAAATCATATAACATCATATATTCAAAATTGGTTTAGTGGAGACATGTTTATTGTGTGTGGAAATAGAAATTTCGGTTGTTATTAAATTTAAAGTTTGTGAAAATTTTAATTAAATATATTCATATAATGTGAAAGAAAAAACAGAAGACTATTCATAATAACAGTAATTCTTACACGAGATCCACCAAGTAATGTTTATGTCGCTCTAAACTATTTATATTTGTAACTACAAAAGATATCAAAATATTTAAAACAACCATTTTGCATCAGATACTATCTAATTAAGTAAGTTGGTGGTTGTTTCTTCTTTGAAATTTTAGAAGCGACATACATATGGTGTATCGCCTTTCCTCAAAAAATGCTTCATCTAAAAAACTGATTTGTGTCAACAACTATACTGTGTTCTGTTAAAAACCGAACTTGCATTTTTTCACTTTGGGTTTTCTTCGAATCCAAGAGCACCGATTTCTTCATCTTCTATGTTACTTTTTATTTTCTTTTTCAAACTAGTCTCAGTTTTTTCATCTGCAATTTGAAACGGAGTCTTTCTACATTTGATGATTTTTGCATTTGATTTGTTTTGGAATATCACTTGTTGTCACTGAATGAAAGATATCACTCGTTGCAGGAGAAGAATCCAATTCCATGATTTTGTTTGAAGAATTGACATTTGAAGAAGTGAATATGATTTCAGATCTATATTCTGGTGGATTTTGTCTCCGTGGCGTCACTTTTAGGTAGAAGAGTTGTTATTCTTCATTCCTCATCTTTATCACATTGGCGATTTGTGTATCCGAATCCTTAGTCTATTTAAATTATATGTTGAATTATATGTTGTTGTATATAAGAAAAAACTGTTAAGAAGTTGTGGTATTTTATTTTCACCTTACCTGATTCATTGTTTTAGTAGCATCAGCTTCCAATAATATTTCTGCTATTTCGCCTATCATACTTGCTTCCAATCCTTCTGATGTATCTTCAAGGTGTACAAAAATATTTACTCTACATAGAAAAGTTAATAAAATTACATAGTATGTTTGCATAAAAATTGCTTTTAATAGTAATAGTAAACTGTTAAATACCTTGGTATTGCTTTTGCATGTTCAAACTTGCAGAAACGACATTTGCAAATTTGACCTAAGTCTCCATTGGATTTTTTTTGCAATTACTACAAGCCAAGTACCAAAATCTTTGGTGCATTGTAGTAATTTTCCATTGGGCTTTCACCCAATATAATTTTTTCTGTAGGTAAATATGTAATATAATAAGTTGAAAATTATATGATTATATTGTGTACATGTATAAATTTAATTAAGTAGTTGTGAAATTACCCCCAAGTAAACTCCTTGCAAATCAGCAATAGATGTGAATTTTGTTTCATCTAGAGGTGAAATTTTTGGTGGTGTCACTGATGGTTTTTCTTTGATGAGTTTAACAAGTCTTTCTTCGTTTGTCTTAATCTTGAATTAAATAAATAAAGAAGTTAAACAATGAAGTGTAGAATTTACTAAATATAAATTGTATAAACGTACAAAAATTAAAGAAGTGTTTTAGCTATCACCATTCTCTGTACTCTGCAACAGCTAAACTTTCCGCATTAATGAAAAAAAGTGTTGTTCACTTTAGTAAAAAGTGGGATGCCTGATAGAAAGGAAATTATATGATTAGTTCTTTTCTTTTAATATATATAAATATAATAAAATACTTTGTATTTTATATTTTATTTACCGTTATATGAGGAAACTTTTAGATTAGTTGTCCATATGATATGATAGGTTTCGTTCCAAGCTTTTCAATTATCGTAACGCATTCTCTGTCAACGAAGGTGTCCCACATTGTTAGCATGACGGTTTGGAAATGTTTATTTATAAGAATAACATCTTGAAGACATTCTTCGGTGCTAAAATGTGTCTAGATAATCCTTTTTTGGCAAACTTCTACAGCAATACCTATAATACCTGTAATGAATACATGGAAGTTGTGTTGTTATGTGTATATATAGTAAAGAAACAATTATGAAATATTAAATAGAATTATAATGGCTAATTTGAAATTTTACTTATGTCTGTGTTTGTATCCATGTGTCTTTCGAGTTGGTTAAATGGGTGAGCTCGTATGTTGAGAAGACAAAGTTAAGATTATCTTCGTGAAGTTCTTCTATTTTTGTTTTCCAGTTATGCTCTATATTTTGTCTTGAAGTGATCCTTTGAACTCGTTTTTGTTGTCTTTCACTATTGCATTGGATAGCATGTATGTTTTTCCAAGTTTGAGTTCATCCGCAAGAGCTGTAATTTTAATCATTTTTTTGTTGAACCAATCAGGAGCTATAATTTATCATTCATGTTAGAAATTAAGGTTATTGTAATAACTGCATAACACCTTAGAAATTAAGGTTATTGTAATGTCTTTAGATAAATGGTTAAAATGTATTTTTTTTTTCAACAATTTTATGATTTGGTTTATCGTTCAATTAGCATGCCACAAAATGTTTACATGAAAAAAAATTCAGTGTCAAACAACTTGGGAGAAAACATATGATGAAATTGTGAAATTTTAAACAAAATTCGAGATCTATTACCCAACTTAAAATCAAATTGAAATTCGGTAACTCAGTTTGAAACTAAATTGAATTTAAGTAACCTAATTGGGACAATTAAAATACTAGTAACCTAACTGAAATTGAGTTAAAAGCCGCATATAAAATTTACTCCATTTTTGGTTAAATTGCACTTGATGTCCTTAATCTTTACACCATTTTACGCTTATATCTCAATTTTTTTTTTCTTTTTGGGAGCTACTGTTCTGTCCTCAATATTTCATATATTGGCAACAGTCATCCTCAAATGGTCACTCACGGTCTTCATAAAAAATCCTCGATAAGTAAGCATAGAAAGACAAAATTGTTTTCAAATTTAGAACAATAAAACAGTGTGCGTTCGGGAGTCATTTTGTATCTAGTTTGTAGAGAAATTCATGTCGTTATACAGTGCATGTTAGTGCATTGTGCTGCAATTATTGACTGAAATAAGTGGAATGACATTTTAGCCACTTTACCATTTTATTCGCTCCTCTTTAGAAAATGGCATTTTTGGAAATGAGCTCACGTGGAGTCAATATTGCTGTACGAATGAGATTCACTCTTGCAACGGTCAAAAAATGAATTAAAATCTGAACAAAATGATTCCCAAACCAGGGGCGGACCCAGCTTAGGTCCAGTGCAGGCAGATGCCTGCATTGGGCTTTGGGCCGCCCCTGCACTTGAAGACTAGGAAAATGGAGAACAGAAACTGGAAAAGTTTGAAGAATTCTACTAGTATAACTTGAAGAGAAATTCTTATGATCTCACTCACATACATCATATTATCATTAATCTCAATCTGATACTAACATGTTTTGTTTTTTACTTGACTCATAGGATTCCTTTAGACAATAATTCAGTTGGTACAACATTTTACAGAGCTCGATGAGGATGACAACTGTACAAAAAAGATGAACAAATCGAGAATCATCTTTTCTTCTTTTTGGATTTTCCATTGCAGAACAATGAACCCAAACCAAATAAAGTTACAGTACCTTTGGCAAAGTAAGTTGGAGGAATGTTCTAAACTAGATTAACGTGAACTCAATTGGCATAAGATCTGCTTGAACTCTTGTTCAATGGAGGTCTTTTTGGTTAAAACTAGATTAACGTGAACTCCATTGGCATAAGATCTGCTTGAACTCTTGTTCAATGGAGGTCTTTTTGGTGCAATATTGGAATAGTTTTGGCTGAAAAGTGAAGAATTTGCAGATGGGTTTTTTTCTTAGTTGATGGCTCTTTCAGTGAATTCTGCTTGGGAATAACTTTCGGCAATGCCGATGGCTTCGGATTCGGAGTCGAACCAGTCGAGTTTCTTCTCGATAGTAACTTTAAAGATCGAAGCAATCCATTGTCAGAATTTAAACTGTAGCTTCTTCTGCACTGCCAAAATGGTTATGTGGGTGGCTTCTCTTCTGCATCACAGGTGTTTGATAAAAATTCTATGAGAGTCTTCTTCTTTGTAATCGTGTCTTCATTTGTATTTTGAACAAATCTACGAGTCCTTGTAGATGGACTTGGCTCAGTTGGCTTCGATCGATAAATTTCTTTGCTGGGCTCGAATTTCTTGACTTCAACGGGGAGGATTTTGCCATTAGCAAAGAGTTCATCAGCAGATGAAAGTTCTAACGAGAAATGATCACCAATTGAGAAATCAAAATCAATGAAATCCAAATCTGATTGAGGGTTGTGGGAATCTACTGGCACGAAATCTGCTTCTCTTAGATCATAAGAGAATGAGATTCTTGGACTTACAACATCAACTGCAACTTACATCATATTTTCATATATTTTTTTTTTAACTTTTACTAATACCGCCCGCACTGAATTAATTTCCTGGAGCCGCCCCTGTCCCAAACAGATGTTAAATATAAAAAAAATACGGAACTAACATTTCACAAATACCATCAATCCCTACTTAGGATTTCATCTAAAAACTCCATTAAGGCAACATAAGAAAAAAAAAAAAAACAATATTATCTTAAAATTTAAACAAACAAAAAAAGATAGACCAGTACATTTTGATAAAATTTGATGAAATTTATGGTTAAAAGTTGGGAATCTCATGAAATATTTTTTCCGACAAGCCTAGAGAAACAAAATTTCCAATTAATTCTCATCCCGAGAACAATGAAAATGGGGAACAACCCCTCATCACCTGAGAAGGTTAGAGAATTAAGTGTTCACGGAAGGAACCTATTTCCTCCAATCCTCAGTCTGATGTTCAGTCCTCATAAACCTTGCTAGGAATTGATGTATCGATTTCTTAGGATATGATATCTTATCTCGGCTTTATAAACAGATATAAAAAAAAAAACTTCATCAATTTTAACAAGGAAGAATACATATTATCTGAACTACCAGACTTAAGAAATATATATCAGAAAGAATTCAAGTGGTCTAAAGAATAAAGGATTTCAAGGATGAATTACATTGACGTAACTAATTAATCGTAAATCGAAACAAAATTTTCTCAGTGAGTTTACATCAGAAAACCATGAAAGAACACTATAATTGTTTCCTAAAACCTTGCTTACTGTATCTTCTTCATACGCCTCCCGAACCCTCGCTTGGGCTTGCCGTCGCGACACAACCTTGGCGGTGGGACAATTTCCTTCACGTCCAGAACCTCAGCCTTCCTTTTCTTGTCTGGTTTCTTGTCTCGCAAATGAACATTGCAAAGTCCAATTGGCTGAGCATGGTCATCGAGTTCCTTTTCAAGTTGATTAGCAAATTCTTCCAAACTTTCCTCCGCAGGTTGAGCATCGTCATCAAGTTCCTTTTCAAGTTGATTAGCAAATTCATCGAAACATTCCTCTGCAGCTATCTCGTCCTGACATGCCTGATCTTTGCAACCATGGATGACGATCCTTTCTTGATTCTTGCTTGTGGGTCTTGCATTATGGTTTGATCTTTTCTTGGGTTTTGCTGGGGCTTGTGAATCCGAATCGAAAAGGGACTCAATAATCTGCATTCTTCTCGAGCGAAACTCATTTGGGTTCTCGATAGAGGCGAGAGTGATCGAAGTATTGATCAAGTCGAAAATATCGTTTTTCCGGGCATCCTCTTCATTGCGAAAATACCCCTTCCAAAAGAAACTTCCAATGTAACCCATTAGTTAAAATTCCCTTCCTTGTACGCAAGAATACTGCTGAATAGTTGTGGGGGTGAAAAAAAGAAGATTTTAAAAGTAAATTGAAGAATAGAGTTGGAGATTTCAAAGTATGAGCAATATACCGTAATTTCCTGGTAAGAGAAGGAGTGAACTGGGAGAATGTTTCTTATATCAGGTGTTTGGTTTCTCGAGTTATTATTTTTTAATTTAAATATTTGTTTAATTAAAAAAACTAAATAATTCATTCCAAAATAGAATGTTTTCATAGCCAATTTCGTCACTTCAATTGGAGCAACTACGTCATTTGTTGGTAAGAATTACAGAAAGCAGAAAATTTCAGAAAATAGAAAATTAAAACTAATTAGAAATTTAAAAATCCATATCCAAATAAGGAATTGGCATAGTCATACGATCTAGTTCGCGGAACTCCTTGCGAAGTTCATGGAATTTACATTCCAAGCTCGTCGACATAGCTTGGCTCATGGCTAAAGGGGAAATAAGTTGAGTTATCCATGAATTGAACTTTCATGAATTAAACCCTCAAGCAAGCTAGTGGTCCAACCTATTGCAACCCCTAAGTTTGGCTGCAAGTAAAGGGACGTCATAAGTGATGTTGAAGGTGGAGTATTGTACATATTTTGTACATTTTCATTAGGAATGGCAAAATACCTCGTTCCACATGAGGTAATTCCGGCCTCATATTTTTCTTTTCTTTTCTTTTCTTTGTTTTTATGTTTAAAATTTAAATTGTTAATTAAATGGGCATGGTAAATAGGGACATTTCAGTCATAATGCCCTCCAAAAGTCCATGACAAAGTGGAGATGGGAAGGGCCGCCCCACCTCGCTCCCTCCGGTTGCCATCCCTAAATTCCACGACCATATTCTCTAGTGAAGGCAAGGAAAAGTTAAAAGGGAAAAAAATAAAAATTCTTAACCCTATTTCTGCTCCTCAATTTCCATACAATTTTGCGTATCTAAAAATCTAAATGAGATCTACCTCATTTCAATAAATTCTTCTTAATTACTTTTAATTATTCATGGTGCATATTTGCTCTCGTAATAATTAAAGACATGTTATAAACTAGAGAGAGAAAAAATGAAAAAGTCAATAGACTTGTGTATATTATAAAAAATCAAAGTATTATACTTATTAGAATTAGGACGGTAGAGATATAATTGTCATAACAATTAGGTTTATAGGAATACAATGGTCATTCACTAATTTGTATTTACTCGAAAAAATCTTGTAGAAAAAAATCTTACTAAATGAAAAAAAAGAGAGTATATTATTCCTTTAAGTAAGTTATAAAAGTTATCTCATTATAATGTTGAAGAAAAGGTCTTTTTCAACGTTTTAAAAACGCTGTAGAAGACCTTTTTGCAGCGTTTTTTAAACGTTGCCGTATTCTTTCACTCTTCGGCAACACTGAACTTTACAACACATGATAAAACGTTGCAAAAGGTCTTTTGCAGCGTTTTTTTACCGCTGCAAAAAGCCTTCTTTGGTGTAGTGTTAAAAGCCTTATCACAAAAATCCTATTAGACAAAACCTTTATTAAAGAAAAAGAATAGAACACATTTTTATTTCCACCGCGATAATATCATTTGAATTATATGTTTCAACATATTAAATCCCTCAGATATAGTATTTATAGTAATATGAAATGAAATAAGTTGGCTATAACCATATTTATTATACACATATTAAATTTGTATTGTCATGATAACAAGATATTGACTCGCATACACCAAAAGATTATTTATTTATACAAGTCATTGCGAAATTCATTATATTAAGAGTTATATGTTACATATTACAACTTTATTTTTTCTCATTTCATTTTCGCGTAATTATACACATTTAGGTGTTTAAACTGGAAATTTCATGCTTCTTTAGTAAGTTGAATTATGCTAGAATCTCATCGTTTTATTTGATCAATTATTTATGTAGTGGTATTCTTTGACGGTTTTCCTTCAAGTGGTGGTTGCTTTTGGTTGGGAATAGGGGGGACAAATTCAGGTTTGGATTCGGGATCCATAGGAGCTTCAGCCAAGTTGAATTTCGTAAAATAATTTTTGGCGGACGAATCGGGGGTGGACGGCTCAGCATCAACAACAGAGAAGGATTGCGAGGGCATTTTAGAGCGATTGGATTGGGATTTTGAAGGTAGAGAAAAAGAGAGCTTCATATTAAAATCCTTGCGTCCAGACGGGAGGAGCAAAAAGCTCCTCCCGCCTTGAGAAAATCTAACCAAGAAAACAAGAGAAAATTCTAAGGAAAAGGCTTTGATACCATGTCAAATCTACTTCAATAAAAGACTCGATATCCCTCTATGTGAGAGATTCTCTTATTATATAGAAACCAAAATAATAACTAAATATGGTAGCAAAAATGGCAAAAACAATCTATCTATAATAGTCGTAATCTTTGACGATCTCCGAAATCTTATTCAGTCTTCGACGATCTCCGTAATCTTATTCAATCTCATGGACAGGTTGGGGATGAAGAAAGAAGATGGCCTCTTTGTTGTTCTTCTGGGGTACATTTAGTTATTTTTTATTCCTCATTTTGTTTATTTAGAGGGGAGGGGGGGAGTGGGGAAATTTTGCCTTTCTTTGCAACCTTAACAGTTGAAATGAACGGATTCAGTCATCAAAGACCTCCCACGTCTATTTTCTCAATCAGTTGAGATGTTGGTGCCTGTATAAAGGTTGGGGCCATTATCCCATACACTTTTGAAAGGTTGTGAATCAAATATGCTATTTTCACTATTAATTATAATTAGGACCACGCTACAAGTATATAATCATTTACATAATATATTACATAATTGACATGTGGCGCGCATTCATCGGTAATCTACAATTTTTGACTTTTCCACACTTCACATCCACGGCCGGATTTTCTTCCACATGGGCCTATGTAATCCATTATGTACAATAATTATGTGAGGAAATTACACCTACACCTGGAATTAGATTTTCAATTTCACAAATAAGATAACAAGTTTAACATTTCAAAAATCAGGTTTTAATTAATAATTTAAAAATATTTTTTTATTTTTATATAATTATATCTAATTAAACACTAAAATTAATACGAAGAAACCGCCATAAGTCACCCATTTCCACCCTCTCTTACTGTCTCGCCGTCTCCACTCTCTCCACCCCTCTCTATCTTTCTACCTACCGATCAACACAACCCCAAAGCAGGGCCCTCCGCCACCAACAACCCGAGGCAAGCCTTGCCCCTAAACAACCGCTGTCCAACCGCACATCTCCTCCCCGGCGAAAGCTCCCTCCAGATCTCACATCTCTCCCATTCTCTCACAGATCTTGGGTGTGCGTGCGATGTGCGATGGAGGTGATTGGATTTTTTTTGTGCTGTGATCAGATCTGCACCATCGTGATCCGGTATAGATTGACATCGGCCTCGTGAATTTGAAGTAGGCAGTGGCGCCGTCAATGTGTGACGCTCACGACGCCGCTGCAGATCTGATTTTTCCTTTTTTTATTTTTTTTAGTTTCGATTTTGATTTTGATTGGATGGGTATGGTGATTTTAATGGTTGATGTTTGTCAGTGGTTGCTGCGGTGGTTTTTCAGTCAAATGGTGGTTGCATGGTTGATGTTTGTTGTTGGCTATGGCGGATCTGGCGGCGATTTTGGTG